TGAAGCTGTTATAGCTGCAGAGGGTGGGCTGGCATCATATTAAACCCTATGGATTGATAATGGGGTGTCACTCAAGTTCATATGCGTGTGAAAACAAACGAGTGAATACTTTTGGCGATATAGTGTATCTTACTATATTAGTTTACTGATGATAAATTAAATGCAGTAGAAGGTATTTAGTAACATGAAATATGGCAACAGTGATTAAAACTGGATTGCTTATCTAAACTTTCAGGAAACAGCCGAATGAAAAGTAAAAATTTCTTTTTCACTTTACACCCATTCTGGTTTGAGTCAGCTGAAAAAGCAAACACGAGAGTGTCATTTACTACAAGCCTATGGGACTCTTTGTTGATCGGTCGTTTTTACTGGGGTGGTATATTGACTGTGAACTTAGCAAATGACTTCAATCCAGCAGAGGAAGAGAATGCCTCAGAGGCAATGTATATATTGATGAATGGATTCAGAAATTGGTTACAGCTAGATATTGCAAGATATGAGGGAATGTGCAATCATTTTCTGCTGTAGCATTATCTGTATTGACTTGCTATGAGTAGAACAGAAGTATATAGACAGAACTAAAAACTCTCCTTTCTATATCGTCTTCATTTAGTTATTTTTTCTGTCTACTTGACATATTTCCAGGCCGCGGAACAATATAATATATATAATGCAACATGCTACCTTTTGAATACTGGGAATTTGTATTTGTAAACCGTCCAAAAAGTATGTGACAGGTGACAAATAATCTCTTTGTCTATTGCTGTCCACCACAGGTCAGCCTAAAATAATCCTGCTATTGATCCCTGCAAAAACAAGCCACAGTCTGAGAAGCTTTCAGAACAAGCAGGCAGTCAGTTATGTAGTTATAGGTATTTAAGTATGTAGTTCATCATTCTGGCTTTCTGTGCAATGAACATTTGTGCATAAAAAGCACACGGGGAAAGGCACTTTCAAAAAAAAAAAAGTACTTGCCTGTAGCACACATACTGTGAAGTCTCACAAGATGAATTCTCTCAGGATCAGGATCTTGCAAATCTTGCAAAAACCCAGCTGCCTTGCAAGCAATAATATTCACTTTAAGAAACTATTCATGTTATTATTTTTAAAGCATCCTCATGTTAATTTCATCCATCCATGCATGCCCAGACCTCCTTCTCCCCATCCACATCTTTCAAGCTCTTCCAGGCGGACACTGAAGCATTCTCAAGTGAGCAGATATACATAATCTTTCCAGCATATCCTCAGTCTACCCAGCAAGTCTCTCCCAGTAGAACATGCCAGTGCTTATACACTCAACAGTGCACGCTGGAGGTCAACCTTCAGTGAAGCCAACAGAATCCCGACATCCTTTGCCTGCATCCAGAGCTTCTGTTCATAAAAGTTAAGAATATCATCAGTGACAAAAGGGCAGCACTGGCGAAGTTCATTATCCACTGGGTATGAGTCTGACTTTTGACTGGTAGTGCAAAACAAACTCTAATTGTGTTTGTACAGGGATGAAATAGCCATGGCAATGGGACCCATACTCCTGAAGCACCCTGAAAGGAACATGGTCCAATACCTTTTCCAAGCTCCTCTCGCACTGCTGGCTTTAGGTTGGAGGCCTGATATCCCACAGGCCGGCCCCTCACTCTCATCAAATTTGCCTTGTAGATCCCATCAGGGACAAGCGGCCTTTGACAACATAACTCCTTCGATCACACAGGCATGCAAACCCCTCCAACACAGTAAAGTCATGAAGAAACTTCTGCATGGTGCCTTGTGTAAACTTCTTCCTGCAACAAACACTTATCGGCAATTTTATGTGTTCATATAAACTCTACAATAATGTTATGTAGGTTATGCAAAGTGGAGCACTGAACTGTAGCTTTTACTGAATACTAGAAAAGATATTTTTATTAAAAATTAAAAACCTTTCATTTTGAATGTTTTATAACATTCACATTTGATAACATTGGCACTGATATTGTATCTCAGTCATGATCCATCTAATGCATTGTTGAGGCAATGGAAAAAACAAACCAAATTCAAAAAGTGCATCAATAAATGTAATTTAGTTGCTGAATGTTTGACATTTTAAATATTTTTATGAACTGTTTTTGAAAAAAAAAAAATCATCTCGTAAATAAAGGAGTGTTTTGTCACATATTCTTTGTAATTGCCGTACTTTTTGTTTGATACAGTACACTTCACATTTATTTCATCCTTGAGCTGCAACATCAGCTGGCCAGGCAATAATTTAATGATTTAATAATCAGTTGGTACATCAGTTTGATTCAGTGGCTGCTTTGTTTTGATTGTTCAATTTGCCTTACACACAAACAAAGCCACTGATACACACATCTGAGTCATATGGTGTTCTTGTGCCATGGAAATGGGACCACCTGGAAGACAAAACCAGTGGAATCCAGATGTCGGTTATGGTGAACTTGTTCTTTTTGGGTATACTCAGGAATGCCAAGTTTCTGCCTCTTTAGAAGATGTTCAAATTACAATCTGAAAATTTTTGTGTGAAGATTTTACCACAGTTTACATTGACTAATAAAATACATTTTTACATGCATATCGCAGAGTTAACAGTTATTAAACTGCTACCTGCTTTTGCCAGCTTTGCTTTCTCTATAACTAAATTTTTAAAAATTACTGTAGGGTTTTATTTATTGTCATCACTGTTTAAAATGACTATATCAGTAATGGGAAAAAGCTGAGTGGTTGTTTTTGAAGCCGCTGATGTCCAGAGTTGATTTCTAATGGTATTGCGTTGTTTCAGAAAGTGACTTGGCAAATGACAGTGGTAAAAGCCATTATTACATTCAGTGAGCTTAAATTCAACGACTGGGACATTTACACTCCACAGTTTTAAATATGAGGTGATTGTGTGCTCAAAATAAACCACAATAAATGTCCATTACCATGCAACAAATTATTGTACAGATGGCTTAGCCCTGGACTGAAAACTCTGAGAAAATATCTTCACTTTGGGTTCCCAACACCACATTCTGTCCACTCTGGCAAGTGACTTTTGTACAAAGCAGCACAATGGATCAGTGGATCTGTGGCTTTAGTCTGGACAGAGGCCATTCTGGCATGCATTTGTATTGTCTGCAACATAGAAAATGTTCACATAGATAGTCCACATATACATGATATGATGAGTAAGCAGTGCTACTGAATTTCTGAGATCCTATGAGATCCTTTCCATTACAGCCACATTGCAACACTTGGTATAATTATATCTATGTATAAGTTTACATTAGACTTCACCAAAACAAGGAATTATCAAGTAGATTACTACAATTTGCATACTTGACTAAATTAAAATGTCAGAAAATGTATATATAAGTGTATCTTATGTGGCATACACAATGATGCCATCCGGCCAAGTAACAGTCACAGTAGGAGGTAGGTACTAATTAGCACACCTTTGTCCAGAGGGAAGTAACTCATCAGCATTATGTTCTGGTGTGATGATTGTTTTCAGCGATACCTGCAGATTGTTTGCTCTCAGCGGCACATGGTGTGAGAGCAGTGACGAGTCAGCCTGCCTGTAGCGCAGTTTGACTTCAGCACCATGGACAGATTTCGTCAGTGCGGTGGAGGAACTTGAGGCTTCAAACTGCTGGACACTGGTTTGCAGGACTCTGAATATACATGAACCCTCAGCGTGTAGCTTTTGAATATAAAATGCTTGCACATGATACTGCCCGATGGGGGTAAACAACCAGCCAAGATCAACGATGCCACCCTGTTCATCCAAGCACAATAATAAGGCCAGGCTACAATAAGATGCAGAGTGTTTGCTTCTATGGAAAAAACTCTAGCTTTAAATCAAATAAAATCACCCGTTTGCATGCTGCTACATCGCGGAAAGAGAGTCTTAATTGTAAGTGAATTAACATTCTCGGAGGGTAGAGATGTAGAGTGGAAAATGTAAGAAAATGTTGAACTCGCATTTTTCCAGGCTGTTTGATTTAGTTGCATGTTCTTGCAACCGACCGGGAAAACCCTTCAAAGACGGGCAGAGTACATCTTTCACTGGGACAAGCCGTGAAGCAACCCTTTCGTTTTGCCATCTGGAAAAATGAAACTGTGCTCTCCACCGTGTAACTACGCGATCCCAGACCGTCTGTCAGTTTTACCGACCTGCTACCGGAAGGCTAGATTAAACGACTCTGAATGGGATACGGCATTAACATAACGCACTCTAACACGGTGTACTCCGGGCTATGATTCCCTTTCCGCCGTTTTATTCCCTTATTCTAAGCTATTCCGACTATCTCATTATTTCAGACTTTTATAAGCCCGTGTCAAGGAATGGTCCCACCGTCTCTCTTGTATTTGCAGTTTTCCCCTCACTGGGCAGATGTTTGCGCTCACGGGGTCGTGACGTTGAAATAACGATGATTTTAGCTGGCACTCGGGGCGCGAACGGCGGTAGTTAAAGAGAGCTTGAGGTTTCCCTCACAGGTTTGCACAGGTTGGACACACATATTCCGCTCTGACAGCGGAGTGGAGCGCTGCGTGAGGATGGATTGGGTTCGTAATGTAATTAGTTATTCACAAGCGCGCGTTCTCTGTCACTCTTTCTCACTTTGGACTTAAACCCCACCAACAACAACACCACCCCCAAAAAACCCAACAGTATTTATGTTAAACGTCGCATTTTCAAATGAATCACTTTGATTTTCTGACTTTATGCCCCGCGCACCCCTTTTGTGAATCATTCATTGACAGATTAAACATGAGTTCTGTTGTTGTGTTTTTCTCTCCACTTTAACCCGTCCAGAATTTATCATTTGGGTTCAAGCAAACCTAAAGACGTCGGAGAAGGAGGGTGGAAGATGTAGAAGGGGATGGAGAAACAGTCCGTCTAACCCTGGGTGAGTGAGTGAGTGAGTGAGTGAGAGACAGAGCAGGGGCGGACGAGCTGAAGAGAGAGAGAGAGAGAGAGAGACTGGGCGCGCATGTCCAGTTCTTCCATGCAGGCTGTTCTTCCTGCTCGCCAATCATTCTACGAGTTTCCCCTCACTCTTTCTCTCTCCCTGTGTTCACATGTGCACCGGACCCACAGCTTTCTCCTGAGCGGACACTGCAGGGAAAGAACCGACCGAAACCACCATGGAATAGGAATACGACCCGGGAAACGGGGGAAAATAAAACCTCTCTTATCTTCTTCTCTCTTTTTTCCCCGTCTCTTTTTTTTCTAGCGCCTTTTTCTGTCTTTTCGCATCTTCCCCATCTCCCTCGATGTCTCTCAACAGTTTCTGAAGGGATTGAATTAAAGAAAAATGAGGATTATAATTTTTTCTTGGCACTTTCTCGGGGTGTATTCCACCCTTTGGGGGCTGGCGACAGGGGCTTTCCCCAGCTCAGTGCAGATAGGTGAGTTGGAGGATTACTGATTTTACGCACGGACACTCAGATCTGACACACTACGCGGAATTTTGGTGGATTTTTAGCGGACAGCAGTCACCATGAAAAAAAGGTGCACGAGGACCCAGCAAACCATAAGATTCTGTAAAACACGAGAAATTCACTTAAGAATGAAGGAACAGAAGAACATATAACTATAGGAACATTCCCTCTGTGGTTCATCTTTTCTTACTTTTATTATTATTTTTCTAATCCAAGATATTTTAGTGCTGGTTCGGTTGTGACTCATATGGTTTATAAATGCACACAAACGCTTTCACTCTGTCTGTCCTTCTAATGTATTTGCGTGTATTTTAAACGCTGTTCGGGGCTCATGAATGTTTCAGCGAGCTTTGTTCCCTTCTAGTCTTCTTCAGTGTTTAGACACTGCAGTATTCTCTCTCTCTCACACACACACACACACTCTCTCTCTTTCTCTCTCTCTCTCTCTCTCTCTCTGTCTGCCCTTTTCCAGTTACCCCGTGTCAGTGCGGGATGAGCCTGTATTTCAAGCCATCTAATAGATCTGAGATGAAGTTAACTGCATCTGAATCATGGGTTTACTCATATGAACCACCACACATGCTCAGAATCTCTTCCTCCCCTTCTTTGCTTCACACACAAACATACACACATCCAGCCAGGCATGTGTGTGATAATGAATGCACTGCATCACTCCTTGTGGGGGGCAGCTGGGAGGTCCTATAATGAGATTCGCCTCCTTGACTCTGTCTCTCTACAGCTGCCAATAAACTTAATGCGTTAAATATTTCCTGTTTTTTATACACACAGGTACACGCATACACACATACACACATTTGCACTGATATTCAAGCATGGATGTGCACACATACACTGTCCACATACAGTTAGAGTAATGCACACCTGGTGTATTCTGCGCATTTGAGTAGTTACAAATGTCAAGCACGCATCTAAACATTCAACAACACATGCTCACAGTGAACATGCTTGCACACGTCTACATGCTGTATGAAGCATACACGATCATGCTAAAGCACACACATGCAGTCTTTTCTTCCCTCCTTCTGGCCAGCCTCCTTAAAACACTCCAATATACATACATGATCATCCACTTGGCTCTCGGGCTTACTTGAGAAGTCATTTGCATATCTCTGCATTGCACACAAGTGTAATGTCACTGGATGCACAGACAATTTCTTTTCACATACGTGTGTTTGAAAAAGAGAGTGTGAGACAAAGAAGGATAAAGATGTGAATATGTAGAAAAAATTATTTGACAAACTACTGCAATGACGTCCTCATCTAGTTTCAGTACGTGTTAAGTGTGTGTATATGTGTGTGTGTGTGTGTTCTCTCAGAGGATATTTTACCCTAAAACTAAAATATATTTTCATTTTTGAACAAACCACTTGGAATTTCTAATCATAAGCCATATAACAATTCAGTTGAAATTGTAATGTTTGCACAAAATTATTTCTTGTGAAATTTGCGCAGTTCCCACACATGCTCCAGCTGTAAGGTCTCTGTGTATGTGTACAGACGTGTGTCTTGATATTTGGAGATGGTTACTGATGTATTAAGCTTATGTATTAAAGGGACACATGCAGCCACATAGATAAGTGACATGTTATGTAGTGATAATTGCTTTGTTCAATATGCTCTGCCTCCCAACTCCTCCCCTGTCATCCCTTTCTCAACCCCTCTTCTCCTCTCTCTCTCGCAAAGCAATGTCAAGGCTTCACAGTCTGCTCGTGTAATCCAATTCAGTTGACTTGAGCCTGACTCGGTTCAAACTAATTTACGTTGGTTTTCCTTAAGTCGTAATGTTAGGCAGAATTAATTTATGTGATTATCTTAACGTCAATGTCAATCTTTATTTCAATAGAACAAAGCAACAAGGATGACCTAGTGCTTTACGAAACAAACAAGATAAAATCTTAGCTTAGTAAAATAAGCACAACAAAACAAAACACAAAAACAAATAAATACAATTAAATGTGACTAAAACAAACCAAAAAAAGACACCACAACATAAAAAAGACACTAATGGGACTCAAGAGTAACAGGAAGTCTAACTGAACTGGAATTAAAATCCAAAATAGAAAAAGGGAGTTTTAAGATGGGATTTAAAAGACTGTATAGACTGCAGTACAAATATCAAGTGGCAGGTTTTTCCACTAGAGGCTGCAACTGCAAAAGCCCGATCCCCTCTATGCTTAAAGTAAGACCTCGGCTGCACTAAGAGCATCAGGAAAGATGATCTCCGTGCTCTCTTTGGGGTTATATAAGTTGAGCAGCTTGGTTAAACAGCTGTGTGCTATATCATTTAAAATTTGAGGAAATTTAAATAAAATGTTCAAATCAATCCAAAAAACGGACAGGTAGCCATGTTTAAACCTGTTAAAACTCCAATGATGCGCTCATGCCTTCTAATACCTGTTAAATTGCAAGATCCTGATCCTGAGCACTTATAGCTAAACAACAAACCGCCAGGACTTATAGATGCGCTACAAAGGACTACTTGCCAGTAAGCGCTACAGGTGTGTTTTTTAGTTATGACACTAAATAAATGACTTATTTTAAAGATACAAGAAAGTGCCTGCGAGTTCCTTTCATACGTACAATTTTAATATGTATCTAACACAAGACATAACTGTTAACAGCACTGACTGCTCGATAGCTCTAAAAGCTCCTTTAGGTTGTGGCTTAATTTTATTGTCTTCTGACTGCCGAGTACATTTGTGATTGACGTTTAAAACAGTTTACAACACAACATCCCAGATGGTTCAGTCAAACAGACCATTTCACCATTTCACTGGTTTTCTCTCTTCTTTGGTGGTTGGAGGTTCATTGCTGCCATCCATCTGTTGGAGTTAATCAGGTGAAAAATCCAGTTTTTTCAGAGTTTTAGCTGATAGAATTTTGCTATGTTATGTTATCTTAACATAGCTTAGGCTGCTGATGTGTAGTTTACAAGGGGTTATTCTTTGCTTTTGGTTTGTTTTGAAAAAACCCCCCTAAACATTTTCACATCACTCTTTGCAGTCCTGTGAAAAACTAAGTACACCTTTAATGTTTCCACAGGAATTAGGAAGGTAAGTAGATGCCAGATGCTGCCAGATATTTGATCACCTCATCATGAGCAAGTTTAAGCACCTCTAGAAAAAGAGACCTTTTGCCAGTTTACAATTTTGAAGAATTCGGGTTTTAATTGGCAAAATACCACAAAGAATGGACCTCCCAGTGAATTTGCACCATGGTTAGACTGCGAAATGGTCAGACCAATGGAAAAGTTAATGAAAAGATTGAATAAGTATGTCCTTGATGGGTTTTCTGGAGAAATCCTCTTCAAAATAGAACATGACAGCATTGCTTAGGTTTGCAAAGCTGAACCTGAACAAATGACAAGACTTTTTGAACAAGGAGCTTGTTTTTCAGCCACAGTGGTCCTTAAATTCTGCTGTACACCAAAGTGTTCTAGAGTCAAATGGGAGGTCCTCTGTTCGACAGCTAAACCTTAGCCAATATTGAGTCATGCAGCCGGACGATGACTATCCCAAGCATAGCAATAACCTACAATAGAACGGCTGAAAAAGAAAAGACTCAAGCTGTTACAATGACACAGTCAAATTTCAGCGTTCACACTGACTGAAATGCTGAGATGAACCTTAACAGAACTGTGCATGAACAAACCTCAAACCTCATTGAATTTCAGTAACGCAAAGAAGAGTTGGCCAAAATATCTCTATCGTGATGTGAGAGACTGATGAAGTTACATTAAAGTTATTTTTGAAGTGAAGTTTTTGCTTCTAAAGGTGCTGAATCAAGGGGTGTACTTAGTTTTTCACTAGACTGCAGTGGAAGACTTTTCATGTCTCCCTACACTCCTCTTTTTAGCGGGTGGGTCACTCTCAGAGCTTTTCAAACATTGTCTCACCCACTTATTTAATTCATATTTTGTTCCTTTTAAGTCTCACTGAAGGCAAATACCTAGCATATCTATAACATTTATGATCTCTTCTGTTGATTTTAGAAGTTACTGGTGTTATATTACAGGTAGCATATTTTTTCAAGGTTAAAGAACAGAATCTTTTCCATTGAGAATGCATGGAAAAGATTACATGACCTTTAACAGCTTTTTCCCCCGTTTTTTTTCTTTCCTTTCTAGTACAGGTAGTAACGCGTCAGTCCCATCTATCTCTCTAGTTCTTTTTCTACATATCTGTATAAGTTTTATCTTCTTGTTAATTTGGCCTTTTTTCCTGTTTTATGCAATACAGCTACCTTTTCTGTTTCTTCCTACCTCTTCTTCTCATTCTCTTTCACTGAACTGCATGAGGGGAAGCTCTCATTTTTTTTAAAAAACAATGACTTTTAACACTTGCTCTCTGTTACTCTGTGTTTTTTCATGGCATATCCTCCTCCTTTATTTGGCTGACCCGTTTTGATCTGTTTTCTTTTAAGTCCTCTCAGACTCATTATCTCTTTGATGGCTTTGCCGACAGCTTAGTCGTTTCTCTTTTCTTCTCCTTTCCTCTCCACCTCTCTGTCTTACTCAGATTTCATCAATGCAGTCTGCAGTGTGAGCCTCCATAAATGTGTTGGTATTCATGTTTGTGCGTGAGACAGAGAGCGAGAATGTGCTAAAAGACAAATTACCTTTTATAACAAAGCTAATGAAGATCTTGGCTATCTCCTCACTTCTCCCCTCCTCTGTTTTTCTCTGCCCTCCCCATTTATCTTTCGTTCCCCTCATTACTCTTCTACCTGTCACTCTCCGTCTTTCGCGACTTTTCCCACCCGACTCCTCTCCGCCACACAATAACTCACTTCCTTTCTTTTGAATCATGTTTCTTACCTTCTTGGCCTCTCTTCTTCTCTCTTTGTCCCTCTTTCTAGGTGGATTGTTCATTAGGAATACTGATCAGGAGTATACAGCTTTTCGACTAGCTATCTTCCTTCACAACACCAGCCCTAATGCTACGGAAGCTCCCTTTAACCTGGTTCCACATGTGGACAACATAGAGACTGCCAACAGCTTTGCAGTCACCAATGCATGTAAGTACTTAACTATGTGGCTGGTTAAACAACAAATGCATACAGTATGCCTCTCTCTCCATGCCCTTTGCTCCCTTTAGCTAATCTGTCATTACCATTTTAGATAAATATTTGTTTTATTTTCTACCTGAAGTTGTTCAAAGGATCAAACTGTAACCATATTTTAAACGCGCAGTATCATATTTTGCTTTGAGCTTCTTTTTCTTCAAATTGATGTTTTAAAGTGCTGATTTTAGACACTGTACAAGACAATGAAACAGTGATAAATGCTAAAGTCGTTGCTGTGTGGCATTTTGAAGCACTGTCAAGTGGTTAATTCTGTTGGCAGTTGTTACCTAGACTGATTTATTTCATTCTCTTCTATTCACATCATCACTCCCATCTGTAAAAGGATAACATAACCCATCACAAAATATTGCAGGCTGTTACAAGTATAAAATTAGTCTGGGAACTGTTGCAGACAGTGTTTAATATGGGTCCTTTGTGTTCAGAACAGAGTGGAACAGTTGGTGCTTGTGTCCTCTCTGATCTTTTGAAAGATGACAGCTAATCTTTCACCATCCCTGTCTGTTCATGAGGGGATGACATCTAATCCTTCAAACTCCCTGTCGACCCGGAAGCCTACGAGAGAGATTTTACGATGTTTGCGCTCGCAAGGTAGTGTTAACAAGGCTATATGGGCAGCTGGTTGGCGACATGTCAGAACTGCTGCACATGCTGCAGGTTTCTCTGGGTTTTTCTTAGAGGAGCCCCAACTGTGGAATACCGATTTTTGCCACAAGCTATTTTCTTTCCAAGAATTGTAAGTGACAGCATATGGACACAAAATTTAATTCCACTCAATGCAATATAATATTTGCATAATGAAATCATTTAAGTGACAGTATAAATAAAGTGCTCTGCCATTGGAAAGCGATACCAAAAATGAGCTTTTGAGTTTACCTGACCAATCTTACCTTACCAAACAAAATAAGATTTATTTTGTTTGACATGTGATTATTTATTTAAAAAATCACATGTCAGGTACTTACATCATTTTACAGTATGTTTAAAACTTCACTAGATTACAGGACATCCACCCTTTTCTCTTTTTCATTCAGCTCCATTATTTTTTTCTTAACTGCTGTGATCCTTTGCTCATACCGAGGCTGCTGGCTTGAGGCTCTAAGCTCTGGATAGCGTTAGCTTTAACACATTTTTCTTTGTTGGCAATTTTTATTTATTTATTTATTCGCATATTTGCACATCTACATGTGTAAGATCATCAAACACATTTTAATATTACACAAAATTAAACAAAATAAAATGATAACTGGTTGCGCCACCCTTGGGAACAATGACTGCAATCAAGTGTTTATGATAAATGGTAATGAGTCGTTCACATCGCTGTGGAGGAAATCTTTACAGAGGAATTCATTGGATTTAAGAATTGGATTTAAGAAACTGGATTTAAGTCTGGACTTTGACTAGGCTACTTCAAAACCTTAATTTTCTTTGTGAGTCATTCAGAGGAGGACTTACCTTTCAGATCATTGTTGTACTGCGTAACCCAAGTCTGCTTGAGGTGGTTCCATTCATGGTTCCATCAATTACGACAAGTCGTCCACTTCGTGAAGCAGCAAAGCAGCCTCAGAACATCACACTACCACCACCATGCTTGGCTTTTGTTATGATGCTCTTTTCATAAAATGCTGTTTTGTTTTGTTCTTTTGCCAGTAGCAGGATGCAAATCTTCCAGAAAGTTCAAGTTTTGTCACATCAGGTCAAAAGTCAGTATTAAAGTATGGTCTTCTTTGAAATCACCAAGAGAAGAATGGTAAACTGATATTTCAGTAATGGCCATTTACCACCTTAGACTGTTTTTTAACCCATTTTTTCACCCATTCTTGATTGCTATCAAATGTGTTAGGTTTTTCTACTTAAAACCCTTAACACATTTGAGCAGCAATCAAGACTGGGTTGAATTTATACTAATCAACTAATGTTGTTTCCCACAAAGTTCAGAACTGTTTTGTTATAACTGTTTCTTTAGTCTGATTTGTGTCACATCGCCAGTTTGACCAACAGTTTAGGGAATGTTAGATCAACGTGATCCTTGTTCTTGTTTTCAACTCATATGACTGAGAGATGTCCTTGTGTATTTTGTATGATAGTCATTTAGTTATTTGTTTTCTAGAAGCCCCAGTTTAAGTCAGTTGTGTGCCTGTGCTTGTTTACAAGTCTTTGTGATTGCATGTTTGAGTGCAGTGTCTTTTATGCCAGTGTTTGAGAGGGGATAAAGCTTCACTGATACTCTCGGTGAGCTGAATCTAGACATTGGGTGAGTTTGATAAAAAAGAAAAGTGAAAGCTTTAAGTAGAAAGAATTTATTTATCATTTATCCAACTGTTCGCAAAATATGTGTTTTTCCTCTCAAGGGCATCATCATATCACGTTCCCTCGTTAACTCAGTTCTAAAGTCCATCCATCCTATTTTAGGGAAATTCTCAAGAGACTGTGTTGCACCGTTTTACCTCCTTATCTCATTAAGCTTTAACAAATCGACCACCAGGGTTCTTAACTAGGTGCTGTGTACGAAATCAATACAGTATTTTATAACAATGCACCGCTTGTCTTCACAATATTATATCAATTTGTTTTCCAGGAACAAATAAATGCTTCAGAATCTGAAATGTTTAAAGCATCACCTGACAATAGTTTTATGTTTGTTACGCGAGTAAAATGAATTTCGAGATTCCATACCCTCCCCCCAAAAGGGAATTGCTAAAATTTAACTGAAGTCAAATTCTAGTTATATTTAATCATAAATCAAAAGTGTACAATGTCATTTCCAAGTTTGTTTCTACACACTGCACCACAGAGCCACATAAATGAATAGATTAGTTGATACAGCTACAGTCACTGGAAAATTGATAGTCTACAACCTCCCACCCTTAGATTCCTTCACACACTGCATCTGTTCCAGTCCATTGTTAAGCTGAGCGATTGAGTGGGATGGTGCACAATGAATAAACATCAGGTTGCTTTCTTATAAAGTAAGGGGAGGAGTATGAAGGTGCAATCAATCGGCCTGACTGACTTAGAAATGTGACCATCAGAAACCCTGTTGTGCCATAAAAAAGTGGAGATTTGGGACTAAATATTTCAATGTAAGCACTACATTTTTTCCCAATGAAGAGATATAGAGATATAGATATAGATAGTTAATAATATGTTAAATGATATTCTCAGAGAGGGTGGATAATTTTTTTCTCAGATATCTCACAGAGTGTCTAGTGTCTTTCTGTGTTTGCATGTTCTCCCTGTGCCTACATTGGTTCTCTCTGAGTACTTGTCACACCTCTGCTATCCAAAGGCTAAAGAAGCATTCACTCTTAATCGAAAATATCTAATTCCTTGTGATAACTGAAAATTCAGGGAATCTCCAAAATCATCTGGTTTCAGTCTTTGGATTCTGTTGATGCAGTTCAGGGGAATTTACATTCATGAACCATCATCAAGAAGCCACACTTTTGTGCTGACTGACCCGTTTCTTCCTTGCTCTTAACACAACCGCTCAAGTTTATTTTCAGTGAATCATATGTGTACCTTACAAGTGTGCAAACAAACAAACACATACACGCACAGGTGTTGGCAAGAGGAGGCTCTTCTATGCAAACCATCGGCTCTTCCCCTCTCTCTCTTGCTCTCTCCACAGGCTACGCGTAACAAGCAGAGCCACTTCTTTCTCTCTGCACCTTTTTTCTCTCTCTCACTTTCTTGCCCACTCTTTTCACTTTTGTTCCATCCCTCCCTCTCACCTTCGCCAGTTTCCACTTCTCCCTCTTTTCCCTCCTTGTCTTTCCATCTCCTCAGACTCTTCCTCTTCATTGCATTTTACTGCGCCTATCCTCTGCACAGGCGTGGCGAATGGATCTCTAAATTAATCCTTGACTCTTGCTCCGGGTGGTGAGCAACACTCCGAATTTGAATAGGGAATACTGCCTCTGACCTTGGCTAGTTCCTCTCTATTTTAGCATTCAGAAAGTGTGAATGGATCATGAAAATCCTCGGTCCCCATCACGTCTCCTGGTCACCCAGGAGTACAAACCATTTTCTCATAGCAGTGTCACACATCCGTATATCCTCGTCTGCCATCAATCTTTGTATTTCTGTTTATATCAGCACATATATCTGTGTAGGATGTGACTCTGTGTCTTACTTTGTTAAAGCTGTGTGTATTGATGTTTGTATTAATGTGTCCCACTAGAGAACCACACTACTCCACTGGGCAAAGAGCTCTATCTCTTTTCAAGGGTTTGATCATGCTAATCCATGTGCTTGATTTGTGTACGTGTGCGTCTACAAACCTTTGCACCACTAATGTGTGTGATAGCGTGTGTGCTGTGAAAAACAAAACAATCCACTGAGACAGAGTGCGATGAAGATAGTCAGAAAGTGATAAGGTGCATTAGAGGCAGAGACGGAAGAAATTGAGAGGAAACGATTTGTAACAATAGGTGGTTATGCTTTGTTTGTGGCGTCAAAGCTTAAAAACATATTGATGAGTGTTTGGGTGTAAGTGAGATTCTATTCTATTCTATTGCTTTCTATTCTATTCATTACTGCACAGCTGTAAAGATGATTAGGCGGGATGTGCAGTTCTGTGTGGTGTGGTTGGTTGATTATCGCTGCGATGCATGACCTCATTTGCCACCTAAAGTTAATATAGATTTTCCCTATAGTCAGTTATTCACAAATCAATAACTGACTGCAACAGATTGCGTTTACATGCTGGCTGCACATGATTATCTCTGCAGCCTGCCTGAGTCAAACTGTTGGAGTCAGACTCTCCTTGATGTGTCCGTCTTGCTTTGTTCCTAAATTAATCAGCTCAGAGATGTGGTGGCAATTAGTCTTCTCAATTAAGAGTTTTCCACCTATGCATCACACAAAAAAAAACAGCCTTCACACATCTAATAAGTATATGGACACAGACTCGTATATAGATAATGATAAAA